GCAAGCTCAAGATGCGACATTCGCTAATGACGAAAGATTCCAATAACTCACACGAACCTTCCTCGCACAATATTCCAGAATCATCACTCTAAGTTCATCTTTAATTCTCATATTTTAAAGACGTACTAAATTCTCGATTATTTGTACAGTCATTATAAACTTACACATATAAGTTCATTAAAACATTTGTACTAATGTCATACTTAATGTTTTAAAAACATTATTCATAACTTCGATTTATAAATTTTACCGTTATTTTCATGAAGTTTAAAGTGTGGATTTAAACTCTTATAACTGGGCTTAAATAAAATTCGTACTTAAATTCAAGAATGGAATACTTAAGAAACTTGAGTGCTCAATTTTTTCTTGATTAATAATGCTATCTAAGAAATGTAGCGCACAAATTTCCCTGAAAAATCAAAAATCACTTAAATGTGAAATTTCTAAAATTGTGAGAATAATCAAAATCTGTAAATTGATATTCCTTTTATTATTTAATTAAAAAAAATTAAAGTTTAAAGATACATTAGAGTTTGAGAAATTTGAGGCAAAAATGAAACATTTTAAATACACATGAATTTCTAATTTTTGAGATTGAATAATTGAAACGGAAATAGGTAGTGTAAGTACCACGACCGATAACACAAAAAAGTCATTAATTGACTGAAAGTTCAGCCTGATTTAAATAAGTTTTGTTACCAATGCTAGATAATTTTTATGTTTCCTATGATGCATATTTATTTTTGTAAATTTGGTTTCTATCTTGCCCTTAAACTGTTTGGAAATAAGTTACTGAAATAAAAAACAATGTCTATATTTACGATTTCAAACAAAGCATTTACTTTATTGAAATAAAACAAGTCACAAAAATAATCAGTTAACTGTGGATTGAATTGTAAGGCGAAATATTAACTAAAAGTTTAAGGGCCAATCAAAATATAGTAGCAGAGCCGTAATGATACCAACGCAAGTATAAGCTACGCAAATTTTCTTCTAAACAAGAATGCTTTTTTGTTAAAATATATGAAGACGTCTTTGAAGTTTTTAGAACTTTGATTTGGAATTTGAAAAAATCTCAAGTTATGATTATGGGTAATTTGTAAGAATTGAGTCTAAAAATCTTAGTGTGTGTACATCTTTCTCTTACAATATAAATTTTCCTCTTAAATCATGTTATAGACAATTTAGAACTTAGTAAAGAGAGCAAAATTATTTTGCACATAATCTATAAATATTTAAATTCAGAGATAAAGACTATTTAAAATATGTTTCAAGAACGCAGTAAGCGAGGGTAATGTATCTCAAGAAAAAGAATATTTTAGATATTCAAGATTTGATTTAGGCGAAAAGTGAGTTGCATTATAATCAGTTTATTCTTGTGTCTGACCTACATAGCGATATAATTTTGCTTTTAATGCGATTTTGAGCAATTTTAAGTTTTCATTCTCAAAAAAATCTTCAGGGGAAACGATGCAAATTATTTATGACTGGTTTATGGGCAAAAATGATCCGGGGTTCAAATCCTGGGCTGGGCAAGGTCGACTCAGCCTTTCATCCGTTCAGTGGGTCGATAAACGAGTACCAAGCTTGTTTGGGAACTGAATACTGCAGGTTTCACGTCAGACTGACGACTTGGCCGAAATATCTGCACATGCACCCCAGTGCCTAAGATCGCGTATACTGAGATAGGCGCCTTGACCCTCATGGGCTGTTGCGCCGCCTAGTTCAGTTATGGGCAAAATAAAGCTTTCTAATGAAGTTGCTTCATTCAAATATATTGATAAATGTAGTTTTGATTTAATAAGATCCCAGAATAGAAAAAGGTAATTTTGTATTAGTATACTTTTAGAACTATTTTAATATCTCTCTCTCAACGGTTCTGTCAGCCTGAGGAAAACTATTTAAGAATTACAATCCAAATAATCTTTTTCAAATCGACATGTCACAATGGTTATCAGATTATTCTATATTTTAAGCCTTTTATAATTACATTACAGAATAAAATTCAATTAATATTTTTTTAATTTAAGCAATTAAGGTAAGTTCGCTTATTAAAGCCAATTAGCTGAACATTCAAGAATGACGAAAAACTAAAACATTAATTGAAAAATTTTAAGCGACATCGTTAAATTTCATAATTTTATTTTAAATTTCAGATTAAATATTGTATTTAAAATTGTTATATCAATAACATAATTGCAATTCAAATTAATTCAAAAACCGGAAATTTAATTTGGTTTAAACTACGAGGTATTGCGATTTAACTAGATACTTGAATATTTGTGAGTATAATATATACTTCAGTATAGTATCGGAAACTTTTTTTATCGAACTCTTTGAATTTAGCCAATTAGAGAAACTTATACACGAATTTCTAACAATGGTTTGTACTAAAATATTTGAGAAAGAGTCAAATAATTTAAAAGCGTATCAATAAGATTCTATGAATATAGATATATCTCTCCTTACTGTATTCAGATAAAATACCAGATCAAAATTGCATTTTATAAGTAATTTATTCTTAGACATGATATTTCATTTTAAGTTATCTGCATGGGTTAAAAAACTTCAATCAAATTAAATTTTTAAGCATTTCAAGCAATAATACCCGACTTAATTTTTTCTATCTTCTTATTAACTTGATATAAAGAAATAAAACGGAAAGTAAATTAAAATTTCATCATAAATTCAAAGGTCTCCCTGGAGGTAAAGTTCGTGATTTACTACGATACAATAAAAACGGGTCAGATAATGATAGATAAGTGGAGTTCTTCTGACTCATTTTCTTACACGTTTCTCTAAACCGGTCTCTGGATTATTTGCCAGATTATTTTGATACCATAGCAGAGAGATATTTATCATGGAATAAAAGAAAAAGGAACGCAAATTTTAATCGTACGATTTAAGTAATTATTTTTTTATTCCAAATCATTCTAGTAGAGAAAAAAAAATTATGACACCTAAAATAAATAACGAAATATTCTTCCAAGATTGAATGCGGAGTATTTTTTGCAGTATATCATAAAAATTTGAATTGTTCCAGTTCTAATCTCCCGCTTTAGGTTTTGTTTTGCTTAGTTTGTGAATGACAAGTGTGTCCACGTTTTTCCGTGTCATGAATCAAAGTCGGCTTACCTTGACACAGACTGCAGACATTCACTCTGGCTCGCTCATCCGTCTTTGGCAGGCGGTCGCGTGTCATCCCTGCCCTCTGCTCCCCATCTCTGACATCCCGGGGCCGACATCGCGCGCTTCTCTTTCGGGGGGTATGGATCTTCCTCTCTCTTGCCTCCGCTCATTCACTCGCTCTCGTCACGTGACGCCCGCAGCGCCCTCTGCAGAAAAATTCGCCAATCGAATTCTTCCGAACGATTGGTTCGGTTTTTATTCGCCCTGTTAGGAAGATTTTCGGGATGCGGAGGAAAGAGGCTCCGACCGAATGGGGGTGTTTTTTCTTTTTTCGAATGCCAGGGAGCCGAATGATTGTGTAGAAGGAATTCCAACTCTTTTTTTTTTTTTAACAGTCGGGGGAGAACCGAATTTCCAAGGAATGAATCGTACGTGTCCCGGCTGTTAGATTTAAAGCATTTTGTTTTTTGTTTTTAAGTTTTGGGTTTTTTTTGAAAATCAAAGAGTTGAGGTAAATTTTTGACTTTTGTTCGTTAAGCCCCCAACACTGTTTTTGTCTTTTCTTATTTTTGGTCTGATATTAAAGAATAAAATCGACAATCGAAGCACGGTTTTCAGGTAGAATACCGTACCGAAAAATGTAGAAATTTTTTAATGTAAGTTCGATTGTCATCTGTCCTTGAAAATTTGAAATTCTTAAAATATACCGAAGAGGTTGGAGGGGAGGAAAAGAGAAATGAATTATTACAGGAAAAAATGGTCTGAGGCAACTAAAAATGAGGAGGTCAGGGAAGTATGCGGCTTTTTACTAGTCAAAATCAAACTATGATCATGATATTACTTTATTTGGAAATATTCTTTTGGACTCAAAATAGTTTATTTGAACAATAAATGAAAAAGTAATATAAAAAAAAATTAAGTCAATTTCTAAATAGGTCAACAAAGAAAATTTTTATTTTGGTTACTTTTATTAAATAGTTATAATTAATATAAATATGTATTTACATATGACAGAATCACACTATTACCTAAGAAAATAAAAAGCGATTTCCCTTGTTTTTGGACAATTTTTGATTGTTTTTACTATTTATTCATTAA